ACTTGTACTCGGAAGTGGACCAGAAGCAACCTCAAGCATTCCCGGCCAAATACATTGTTCTAACTCCAGATGCAACTACATGTACGCGTGCCCCAGCAAAAGGGAAAATAGGAGTTGTAATACTGTGTAAACTATGGAATGTAGACAGAGTGCATAATATGGATTTACAGTGCGACCATTGCATCATGACTAGACTGTGGAAAAGTAAGGTTTGCCAATGCGGCTATGCCAAAAGTCGCACTTGAAAACCGCGCTATACGTTCTACACAGGAAAATAATCATCCACAAGTCATTTATCTCTACCTGCATGATGGTGCTACCAAGAGTGCATGGGTATATACAATGTGCTCTTGGTGGTACGAGTAACTGTTTGAGTCATTTTCTGTTCATACTAGTAGACTTGCAATAAGGGCTGCCTAATTTGCTCCAAATTCGGTTATCTTTTTTTAATCTTTTTTAGCAGTAATTAGTGAACCCGTTCTCAAAGTAATCGGTGCAGTTGAGTTACCGAAGTGGAAAATACAATCCCACACCATGCGATACCAATATGACAAGCAATAAACAAGAGGCAAATCTGTTTACCCGGGCCACTAAGCGAACTGGCCAATGACTATGTGCAGGATAAAACTCTCCCATCAATACAATGAATGTGCAGATGAAGACTGGCGAGGTGAGACATGTTGAGCCCCCGGAACATGTCCCTCACTCACTCACTGGCCGCCTCAACCTACATCACAGAGAAGTAAGTTTGTGAACAGTGACGTTACATAGACAGTACAATACACCTCCGCCATTAGGCGAGGTATGGTGCAGGTAGGTCGATTAGAAGCGAACGCATGTGCCCCATACAGTGATACACTGATACAGTGGGCAATGAGTCTTCCATTCCATGGCCTTCGCAAAGAGGTAACCTCCGAGCTAAGCTCACGAGCAGTTTAAGGAGAAACTGCTTGAATGATCGTGCAACCCACACAGTCACAGTATTCCTTCTAATTGAAACTGTCGTGCATGATCTTCTTCCGTGTATACCGGTATTGCCAGTGGAAGTGCGACCAGTATAGACTGAGTTGAAGCCAGTGAACAGCGTATACACGCTACATGATTGAGGAATGCTCATTTCTGCCATAAATGTAGCGGAGGGTTAACCTGAAAACTACCCAAGGAGAATATGGTGATAATCTAGTAACGGTAAAACAAGCGCTACGCTTTGGATGACCCAGCCACCAGTAACGCTTGCTAGCTCAGCGCATCGCTTTATGAACTAGGGCGAGAGGTACAATGTAGCTCGACCGAGCACTCAGGCAGACGAAGACAAGCAAGTTACCAATAGGCAATACCGTAGTACTTGCTCCTCTTGACCGAGCTGGCGCGTAGCAGTAGCTTCCACTCTCTGCCAAAATGTGGTCATCAATGATCACGGAAGATGCCATGTGTTGTGGTTGGCTATGCTCCAGTCCTGATGGCTGCGGATAGTTGGTTTTGTTTCCCGACAGGATGCCGCACTGGATTCAAGACGCAATTCACATCTAGGGAATGTGACGTTTGTGGTCGAAAGTTCATAAAGAGAATCCCCTAGGCTAGGACTCTTTGCTAGGGGCCCTAGCAAAGAGTCCTACATTGTATATACAATGTAGTAGTAATATACAGTCAATAGAAATGAGTCATACAGTCATAAAGTTTGCACGGTAGGGTATTCACAAGTATTATTCCCAATGTCATAGTGCAGAGTCTGGGGCTGATTCATGCACAATACAGCCTACCACAGCCAGGCACTGGTACATTTACAATGTCATGTAGATCTACATTCAGTTTTTTTTTAATGGCTGTAAATACAGGCACTGGTACATACACTGCACTGGTACACGTACATATACACGTACATATACACGTACATATACACGTACATATACACGTACATATACACGTAGTTCTAGACGGCTGTTTTTGCAGGTTGTAGCTCGTAGATGTACATTGGCACCAGCTCCAGCCGAGCAGCACAATAATAGCTGCTGCCTGATACGACAACGCGCAATGGCACACATGTCGTGTAGAGTAAGTTTGTTAGTAGGGTGTAGACTGCACGGATGTATCGCGTAAGCAGCCATAATTAAGCACATGTGATGTGTTGTATGAAGTACGAGTAGTCATACTGTGTCATTCGCCTTCCTCCTTTCCTACGCAAGTCAAGGGCATTACTCCTCTAAGTCTAACATCTTCATCACCTCGTATTCAGTTTTCCTTTTGTCGTGTAGTTGCGTATATTACTTCTTCTCTTCTTTCGTCAGTTTCTTCTGTCATCGCCATGGTTAAAATAGTTCAAGCAGCGGGAACACAATTACACACGAAATGTCATTGAGCGTGGAATGCTGCTGCTGCTGATGGTGATGACAGCGACATTGTACCCGTTCTCAGAGAGAACAACGGAAGGACTTCACACCTCCTCAGCACAATGACCCGCGTTCACGCCCGGCACTGCATAATAGGAACAGTTCGGACATTCCACGGGGAGAATTCAATGTCATTGGTAATTCCGCTACTCTCTTGTCGGGTAGCGGTCCGCTTGGCAGCTTGTAAGCGGGTTCGGAACACCTGCTGAAGCCGAGTGCCAAAACTTCGCGGCGGGGCAAATCAGCACCGGCAATTATACGTATACACTTAAGTCATCGCAGGGCCACAGCCAGCAGTGATTTCTAGAGCTGGGATAGGACGGACAGACTCAGTGATAACGATACATAATGCATGTCTACACAGTTCTATAGCTGTGCCTGTGGTTTGCTGAGAAGTAGGAGACTGTCTAACAATACATAGCGTTACATACATGTGCATTCATGACTTTTTTTAAAGTTTTATTGTACTCATTGTACTCATAGTCATACATGCATTAGTGTACATTACTGTCTGAGTGCTCCGTGTACATGTCATGTCGTGACTGTAGTGCAATTGTACTTGCTATCGGATCATAATTGCATAGAACTTGGCGGACAAGGTGTTGTCTACGCCCTAGCCCTAGGACTAGAACTTGGAGGCCTGGAGCAGCAAAGAAAAACATCTGCCCCGAAGACTCAGCCTGGGGTATCAAAGACACTGTTACAGCGTACATACACGTGACTCATGGCCTAGACTAGTACTAGCCTAGAGCTAGGGTTTGAATAGTGCAGTGTGATGCGAAGTATGGTCCCTTCCTTCCCCTCCACGCGTGTACATGAGGAAGTTAGTTGCACTCAACCGCACAGTGCCGAAAACACAGTTTCCCCTCTTCCTGTTTACAGACTGTTTATGTTTGTGATGCATGCATGCGTGCACAGGGCCCACCATGACCAGAAATAGCCAGCGCCACGTGGCTGGTGCGAATGGTCCGCATCACTGAGCAGGTTACAGTCATTATCATGTACATCAGGTACATAGTCATTGCGGGTACATGTACATGTTGTCACATGACGTCTGAGGTCTACACGTCATCAAGGACATGGGCCAAGCAGAGCTAGAGTCTAGAGTAGAGAGTAGAGGAAATAAAAGGAGAACCTATCATCCGGAGCGAAACGGCAACGACGCGACTTCTCGCGCATTCACACTGGCTACCGCAAACGCCGAAAACCCGACACCGACACTTCTTCGCAGGCGCGTGCAGATGTTGTACCTCGTGGCGAGTAGAGGCTACTCCGTGTTGGGACCTGCGCGAACAAGGAACCGCCAAAGGTTACCTCGAGGCCACAGAAACGTTGACAAGAGCCCACTTGTTTAAAATGGAGTTGAATGAAGACCGTCAAGCGAGCTGAACGATGCCAGGGTAAAATTGGCGTTTGAGGTCGATACCATAATAGAATGAAATCATTGAGCGATGCAATGATGGCTAGACCGCCGAACCTTCACCAGTCCTATAGCCAATATCAGAACTACCACAGGAGTATCAGTGACACAATCCTCTACACGATCCGATAGCGGAATATGGCTTTTCTTCGGCTTCCCTCCCGTCGAAAATGTTGCTGAATGCTGAGTCGGTGCGGCATTTCATTTTCAATTCGTGTTAGTTGGTGCAGTATGGTGAGGATGAACGAGAGCTTTGAAACACCACGCGACAAGAACTATGACGTACAGGAATCCGAGTCATACAGTCCCGGTTGGCACTGCTGTATCACGTTGTAGAGTGCCAAGTCTTGTTCAGCCTACGACACGTAACGTGCGGCTGTTTCTGCGCAAAGCCTTTCTTCTTCGAGTGTGTCCAGGGCAAAAGCGCGTGCGTTCCTTCGTTCACTTAGGAGAAGAGAGGAGAAGAGAAGAGGGCCGTCGATTGTTCAATTTAAACCTGGGTCACCTTGGCCAAACAAACTACTTTCAGTGAACGATTACCCGTATTGCATTCAGTGCTGTGGGTGTCAGTGTGGGTGTCGGGGCTGCAATCGACATCATGTCTGAGCCGGTCTTCCGTCTCGAGGTGGGCCTACCGTGCCACACGTGAAGGTCTTGTGCAGTCCTTCCCCGATCTACCACAGACAGACTACCCGTGCATGATGGCAGATAGTCTAGGACACTCATAGACCACACAGCGGATACGCCATGCGCCAAGCTAGCGTCCGACTGTGATGCATGTCATACAGTATGCTATGCATGCTACAGGTGTGTAGCTACCGAGCACATTTTGTGGATGACCTTCTCGGCATGGCAGCAAGTCTCAGCTGAATCGGAGCTGGAAGAGGCGCACCGAACTAACTTACTTGAGCAAGTTGAGGACGCCAGTGAAACACAGTCGTATCGACCCACGACATATTCGCGTATTTCCCTCTGCAGCATGTCTCTGACACGCAGCCCTTGACTCGGAAAAGTGAATCAGAGATCGCGGCGAGGTCAAAGACAGGAATTTGGTCCTTCGCGAGATTAGCAATTCTCGCCCTGGCAGGCTCGAGAATCATTCAATGCAAAGAATGAGATCATAGGAAAGCTCATCCTTTCACTACGGCATGTTGCTACTGCTGATGCATCTGCTTGTGTCGGCTGTTTGGGCTGGCTGAAAAATGCCCAGCTCCGTCTCGGTCGCGTTGCCTTTACGGGGCGGTGACCAGCGCATAGGTACTCAAAGGGATTGCGCGATGGTGGAAATAGCAAGTGCTATTTTCTACCCAGCGAGGAGTATGCGCCAGCTGTTCGCCGATCAGTACGCGATTTCTTTCATCACCGACGGTGTCAACACGGAGCACTTTCATAACGTAGTATCCCTTCTCCGCTATAAATATGACCTGGTTGGACTGCAGAGGATCAGTTTTTCAGTGGTGCCCGCGGCTACGCTCCTCGCCAGTGGCTAAGAACATCCTGTTCAGAGAAAATACCATTTTACGAGAATGTCCTGTCCCAGAATTTCGGCAATGCTATCCTTGCTGGTGGCCATGCTGCTGGTATGTACCGAGGCTCGGAGCATCAGCGAACATCGGTCGAAACGAACGGTGGACAAGTGTGATTCGCCGTTTGTGAGGCGTCTGCTCGAGGATGGCAGCGGACAACAACATCCTTACCCGACATGCAATGATGGCAGTCCGTCAGGGTAAGCTCTTTGCATTCGATCAAACGCAAAATTCTCTCCGCTATGTTTTATCGGTATGTGGTTTGATGGTTTCAATATTATTGCTCTGCTCTTTCCTGTTCTCTCTTTCTCTCTCAGGTTTTATCTTCAACGTCCCACCATCGACAGCACGACCTGGGTGATCTATTTAGAAGGTAAGACACCTTCAGTTTGGTATCTGTACCAATATTGTGCAGTTACAAGTAGGCTACGGCCGGGGAGGTTCTGGAGTTGTCAGAAAACATTTGTACGTGCCTATCGTAGTTTTGTCGGCTCTTCTGCCTGGATTTCGTTGACAGATGCGTTAAGCCCATGGATCCTTCCATGAGTGACACGCGAACTGTAACTATTATTATTATTATCGTAGTTTCCCAGTCGAAATTTGCGTAGTACTTTCTTTAGCGAAGAAACGGGTTGTACATGTAAGTCACGGTGTTATGGTGGCGGGGATCGGAAATCACAATCCTTCGAATGCAACTGCAGGGGAAGCATTGACTCGACATGTCCCACATGGGAATGAGGAATTATTCTGGCTTTCGTCTTTTGTACATTTTCAGTCTGGCAAGCGAATGTTCTCCAGCCAGAGTAGCTTTCAGCGCCATACAATGCCAGCAGGTGGAAGTAGTTCGTGTTCAACACACGGATTACTTTACTTCTGAAGATGCCGAAACGCGATAGTACCGCTGCTGCGGTATGGCAAAGCGAAACGTGTGCTGGTAATTTGCATTGGAATGTGGGCTTCCAGCGAGAAGCCCACTTAACCAATGTTGTCCTAAGCTGAAGTGGCGTCAATTGAACATGTTGAGAGATGCCCAGTTCCGCTTAGCAAACACCTCTGTGCGGTGTCTAGTGGCACTAACATTTTCACATCCTCACTTGGATTGGCACCTTGGCCAGGGAATATGGGGATAATTATTTAAATGTTGCCTGAAAAGAACATGCCTGCCAAACCTAGATAAGGAAGCTTTGCAGTAAAAATACCATGTGGCTATGCTTGGGGGCGTCGTGCAATTAGTAGTCCGTAATGAAATTTATTCAGTGGAGTACAAGTGGTGCCACTGATAACAACATAGCTAGGAATGTGTGAGGGCTGGTATCAGCTGATAGTAGTGTGAATCCAGGTTGGTATCAGCTGAGAGGAGTGTGAGTCCAAAGCCGCAGGCTATGTAGGCGAGGAAATTGAGACTGATGAGACTGATCACTGGCTTTGCCATGCATGCACCTTTTCAACTTGTACAAGATCTCCAAGTTACTGGGCATGTCCTCCATCAACACACACCTGATTGCAGACATAATTATGTGTATAAGAACGCAGAGCACAATGGTGGTCATTACTTGTAAGCAGCTATGCTATGCAAAGAGTACCAGAAGCATTCACATGCAGGCAATCCTGACGAGGAGCCTTTCTGGGATTGAAGAAACACACTCAAAGCAGATCAAAAGGCTGGCAATGTTTACCCAGAAACGTGTGAAGTATTCCACAGTATTCCACACTGTCACACTTGCAAGAACACCTGTTACTAGAAAGTACGCACTGAGTTCAAATAAAGTAGCGACTAATACATGTATGGAAGCTAGGCCATAGGTCAAGGCATGCCAGAAGGATATTCTCCCTGGAAGCATCAGTTGTTCTTAATTGTATTCATTGGGTCTGCACAACTACCAAAGTGCAAAGGAAGTCCCTGTCTGGTGCGTGGGTTAAAGTTGCTTGTGACTGCAAAGTAGGCAATTGTTTGCTCAACCTGTGGTTAACCTATGTATGTCAGTACAGGATATGAGGTCTTACTCGTAACTGGTGACTAGAGACTGCTAGCCTTCTTTGCCTGCATTCCAGCTTATGGTATCATCACGTGAATGCACAGCATGACATCCCAGACACACCTCCAAACAGCTTGTGGTGTCCGGAGTGTTAGGATAACCCACCCTCTCAATGCTGTAGCATAGCTTTAGCAGGCGAATGCGGGGTTATTGCTAACCAGCATTCAAACTGCTGTGTGGCAGGAGGACTGCCTTGTGGCTCATGAGCTCTATTGCCAGTTCTAGGAATGTGTTGTAGGATGACAGACCCGACCTTTTGGTCAAATATGGTCACCAGGACAAAGTAACCAAGCAATTTGTGTTGCCCCAGCTTTGCATTGCCAACCACTTGCTTCTAGTGCATGTCTTCTAGTGCATGCACTAGCAGATGGCAAATCATCAGGGTTCTGCATTCCTCCTTCCTACAATAATGGCTATTCCGCAAGTATCTTTCCGAAGGCTACTAAACTTCTTTGGTCCTCCTTTGAAAAGTTGACCTGCCCTAAGTGTAAGACCCTGTCAAGCACACATTACTAGTCATTCACAGAATACAGTGTACAGTGTGTAGTGGACAATGTACAGCATGCATATTGTCCAGGAAAACAGATCACATTGGCCAAGCAGCCTGGGTAGTGGTCGGTACGTGCTAGCTCTGCAGTGTGTGCACTGCATGGATGTAACCATTGTGACTAACTTCTGTGGCTTTCTGCTCCAAACCCGTGGTGGTGGCTGCTGCAGGTGGTGACTTCTGCGCTGATGCTGCCAGTTGTCAAACACGGCAAAGGCAGCAGCACGCTCGCACCTCATCCACAAACTGGGGCCTGCTGAAAATCCCGGGTAGCACAGAAAGTAAGTGTGTATTCCTGTGAAGTTGAGAGTGAGCGCAACGGGCGTGAGGTGATAATAGTCAAGAGTCATTACAACGCCCTGCATGCAAGTAGTCAGTCAGCCAGCCAGTAAGTTGCTACTTGTAGACGTGTTCATTGCTGAGCATACGTGTGTACATCACACACTGATACATGTACCTGTGGTGGATAGCTGTGGTAGATACCTGTGGGAGTCTCATCCTTATGCACAGTGCATTGCATAGTGCAAAAGATGTGTGCTCCTTAAGGCATGCAAGCAGGAAGCTACTGAAGTACTACTGAAGGTGTACTTTATGAACTGAACTAGTGACTGCAGCCACCTGCCAAAGTACTAAAGGCCTAATGCTTCTACCATTCTGTTTCTGTTTCGTCAGACCAAGGCATCCTTTCATCACAAGAGAGAATCAATCCTTATCTTCACTCAGCCAACAAAGTGTAAGTATTGGAAATGTACTATGACTTGTGGTTGAAGAAATTGATCAGCTTACGTTTTGCCGATGTAGTGCTTATAGGCAGTGGCAATTCAGATTTCAGAGTGTTGTCTTGCTTACACTGACTTACTAATGTTAGTTTTCTGCTCTTCGGTTCTGCATGGGTGCACAGGTATATGCCGTACTGTTCTAGCGATTTCTGGAGTGGCACACAGACTGGCCGTTCGAACAACGAAACCAGCGGTAAGTCCCACCAGCCGCACCACTGTGAGACTAAGACTAGTCGGCCAACGATCACCCGATTACAGGCAAAACATATTGTCCACATGAGCAGCTGATATGATTCATACGCTGTGCTTCTGTGTTAGGCATGTCATGCAGTATCATGATGAGAATCTCTTCCTTATTCTGTGCCTTCTCCGCGGCCAGGTGGTGAATTCGTGTTCAGCGGTGCTCTCATATTCCGTGCCGTTGTGGCGGACCTGATCAAGCGTGAAGGGCTCGCGACTGCAACGCGGGTCATCATCAGCGGAAGCAGGTAGGAAAGAGCTGTGCTGTTGAGTGCGAGAATACAGCCGGTTTTCTCCCCAGCTGAGTTACTTGATAATTATGGTCATCGGGTTGTTCACACACACTATAGAATACACAGGCTGTTTGGGTAAGCAGCCCGCGCTGTTCACGACACACTGTAGAGATTACACAGGCTGTCTGGGTCAGTGGGCTGTTGATAACGCAACACAGAATACACTGGCTGTTTGGGTCAGTGTCCCAGGTTGTTGATGACACTCTGTTGAGAGAACACACAGGCCGTCTGACCAACACCGGTTTGGTTTTCCTGCTCCTTTTGCAGCTCCGGTGGACTAGGTGTTCTGCTGCACATCGACTACCTGCGACAAGCGCTGATGAGTGCTGGCGCCGTGCCCGATCTGCGAGTGCAGGGCATCATGGACTCGGCCTGGTACGCACACGACGCCGCTAACTGCACCAAAACGGTCAACGTGGAGACGCGCAGCAGGAACTGCCTGGACACCAGCGCTCTCAACCAGATGAAAGCTGGCTACAGGTGAGGAGCGTGTGAACCGTAAAGGCTTTCCACCATTGTAAAGCAACCATGACCAAGCTGAACAAGCAACCTTACAATTTCCGGCATGCGGCCTGCCATGAGTGGTCATTCAGTTTTGCCTGGGAAAGGAAACTGCGGTGGGAACTGTCTCACACAAGACTAACCATTGTTCTTGTGCTTTACATTTGTATGTGCCAGGTACTGGAGTGGATTTGTTCCCGCGACGTGTACCCAGGCCAGCACAAAGCCGTGGCTTTGCTACATCGCATCCGTCCTGCGGCCTACCGTGCAAAGTAAGTCTTTGACTGGGGAACGCTGCTTTTCTGCTTCCTGTCGGCTAAGCCAACAGCCAAATTCAGGTGCCTTGTACACTGTACATGCAGTGTCAACTTGAATCATGTGCCCATAGGTGCAAGCTGCCACAGTAGCTAGGAGAGCAAACTGACAAAGAGTGGTATACTACTCCTGTTGGTTTCCAGCCCAATCTCCTACTTTATGGTCATGTGAAGGTGTGACAACTTCCTCTGGCCTTTGTCACCACTTCCTGGGCAGCAAAGAGTTTACAAGAAGTCGATGCCAGTCCTACAAGTAGTTTCTAGCTGAGTAGGGAGACTGGCACAGTCACACCATCATGACTTCACACCTCTTTTCTTCATTTCTCGTCCCTAGCTGTCACAGTCCTTAGAATAGTTCTCAAACTGTCTATCTGTGTGTATTGTATGCGTCACGTAATTGTTGCCCAGGTGATATATTCGTCTTCCAGTGGTATTATGATAGCTACTTCACTCGACTTACGGAGGTACCATATCTGCTGGAACAAGGCTTCGTGGCGTCAAGGACCCAATACCATAACGCGGCACAGAAGATTCTCAGCTTGTCCAACATGGTTCGCAAGAGCTTGGCTGAGCAGAAGAGCATCAACGGTTCGCTACTGACGTGAGTCTCTCCGCCAACTGGGGCATTTGGCTGACCTAACCTGACCAGACTTGACACACATGTAAACGTACTTGAATTCGGTGCCAGACAGATCTTGCAATCAAAGTAGCTAGAAGAATGTGTACTGTGTGCCTGGCCCTGAGCACAGCAAGTAAATTCCTATTTCCATTTCTGATTCCTTGTGCAGGATTGCTGTTCTCCCAACTTGCTTCAGCCATGCCAATCTTCTGCTGGAAAGGTGAGATACAGTACCATCATACAGTACCATCACGCTATCAGTGCCACCATGGCCTACAATAAATTCAATACTGCTAGGATTTCATTGTGCAGAATTTGGAGCTACTGCATCGATATTGACTTCCTTACTGACATACACATGTGGTCTGCCGTGGCGTAGGTCAATGTCTTAGTGTACAGTACATGTACTGCACATGCACTGATGCTCAGCTGGACCTGTTGAAGGCACACTGATTCTGTCAGAAGATGTGTGACTGTACTTCAAAAGTATGTGAATATTTGAGTGCTTGGTTACGTGCAAGTACATTAGCAACAAATGTGTGCCCGGCAGGCCTGGAATCATGGGTGATGGGATGACGGAGTCACGGAGTCATGTTTTGAACAACTAGCCTGCCAGTGACGGTGACATTTCAGCAGCATGCATGCTTAGAACCCCTAAGAGCTCCTTCTGCAGTTCTGGTTTTCCGAATGATTAATTTTGTAATGTTGTGGATTGCTATGTGTTGTGCTGTGTGTAGCTGGACTAATCCAATGCCGTATGGAGCTACTCTAGCCAAAGTAGTGGAATGTCACAGCCTCAGCACCAGTGCACCGGAATTTGAGAGAAGATGGGAGGCACTGGAGTGCGGCAGGAAGAAGCGAGCGTTCTATCGGCACAACTGCCGCGATCCCACCGTGGAGAACTCGTCATGTCCCGTACCCAGCGATCATGACTTCTACACCAAATTCAGACAGGCAATCTCGCAAATCCCCGGCGTGTCTCGGCACTGTACGTTAGTCCTGACCAATCTCAGTTCGTAGTGTGTTCATCAGGACCCGACCACTGACATGCCACCCATCTCCACCAGTCCAGAACAATTATATCTAAGTTATGTTACTCAGTGGTAGACTGGACATGACACCAGCAATGACAGTTCTGATTAGGCCAACTACTGAAAATGCAGTACTAACACGACATTGCTCATTCCATTCCACGCCTTAGCTTGAGATTGACGACTGCATTCCCTAGAGTTCATGCATACCGGTACACAACAGACCACTGGACTTTTCCCCACGTTCAATATCCCCCTATCATCCCCCACGTAAAATATTTCCCTATCATTATTCCTAATTATTCGGCCAAGTGAGCACTTGATCAGATTCAGAATTAACATTAACTCAATTTCCCTCCTTGACTCAAAAATCTTATTACCGGAATCTGTGAATTTACGTCGTCCATTCCTTTGAATACCGTATTTCAAGTGTTGACAGGAGCTATGTATTCTCTATTTTACAAAGCAATGCTCTGTTGTGTTGTGACTTGTGAGAGGTGCTGCTGCTGATTGGTGTGGACAGTGGTGATGTTCCCAAAGAATGCAAGGATCAGTAGTGTGTGTGGGGGGGGGGGGGGGGTATAACAAGAGACAAGGCACAGACCCGAGAGTGCTGGGAAGGGAGGCAACATCAAACATCAAACATCAAGCTGTGCATGTACCGTCATGTACATGTAGTTGTGATTTGTAGATCTAGTGAGTAGTGTAGTACTTCTTCTATCAAAAACAAAAACAAAAAAACTCAAGAACAAGAACAATGGGGACAGGAATCCAATGAATGCACAGCCGCTGACTACATAATTGTACATGTACCTACTACACTGGTCGTACATGACGGTGTTACTAGTATCTTGACCAAGGAGTCATCCACCTCAGTCCTCAGCTCGGCTGTACTGTGTACACCTGTGACGGTGGGTGACTTTCACTGGTCAGGATGTGTGACAGAATGTTTCAAATACAGTATACAGTGTAATTGCCATGCTGGACTGCTGCTGTCAGGGTCACCAGGGCTGGCCAAGTAACAGTTGGAATGGGGTGTGAAATTACAGACTAATGACTGCCCATTAATTGAAGAGTATCTCCTGCACCTGATCAGGCGGATTCCAAGCCAAGCAGTCAACAGAATCTACTACAGTATCCATTGGTAACGTGAGCATCCCCTCACCAGTACACTCTGTCCTGCCAGTGTTGCCACTAAGCTTGGCAGTGTTCAGTCTGGTAGTCCTTGCTTGGTAGTTAAGGGGATTGTCAAAGTTTATAATTAAAGGCCAGCACTTAGCGTAACATGACACACCCACACAGTATGACCACTGAACTGCAAGCTACATAGTATTCATGTAGTGATGCACGTACATGTACATGCACAACTATCCCCTGTAATGACACGACTTACAACACTGCCTTCATGTAGTGGAACTTGAAACTGTTGGCATTTCAAGTCTACATCATGCCACAGTGCAGTGAGTTCACATGGCACACAGCCAATACGCCTTACTTTCAGTGTACTGTGTATGCCACATAGCCAATAAGCCTAATTACTACCAGTGTATGTCACATGGCCAATAAGCCAATGTATGACTCACAGCTAATAAGCCGTACTGTCAGTGCCAAGCATGCAAAGCAGCCAGGAACCCTGCAGTCACGGCACTTTTGGCACAATGACGACATTAGCCATGCCGACACCAAGCTCACAGCACAGTACAGAGTGGGACAAAGAGTACCGACAGTCCACACTGCCATGCACTGCAGAAACCTACTTTGGTCAAAACACCATAATTATGCAGTGGGCGGCCATTGCATGAAATGACACCGGCAATGCATTCCAAACCCAGTGTGTTCAGAAGGAATACTAGCTGAGCATTACAGCCTCTCTGCCGTCAAACTATGCTAATTTCCTCAGACTTAGGCCTCTTGCATAAAGTTAGCCCTGATAAGCTAAAATGTCCTCTACATCATATTGAGTTCATAAGGCCGCAATATAATACGTCGTTTTCATGTATGTGGAAGAAGCCAGTGGATCTTGAACCTTTCGTCAAAGCAAACCTGTATGATCCTGTCGTGACGCTAGTTGTGCCTGCACATAATATCCAAGTCACACAACCTATGTGCACACCACACACCCTACAGCTACTAGCCATTTTCTGGGCACCCATAGTCAACTGTTTGCCTTTCTCATAGCAACAAGCAAGTCATGGCACACAAAGTAGTCCAAATGTCCAATTCCTGCCTAAGTACGTCCTGGATATATTTCACTGATCGAATTGTACAGTCATGTACTTTGCGAGTATGTACATGCCCTCGGAGGTCAGAAGGCAACTCAAGTCATTCAATGTGTGTGTGTGTGTGTGTGTGTGTGTGTGTGTGTGTATGTATGTATGTATGTATGTGTGTATGTGTGTGTGTGTGTGTGTGTGTGTGTGTGTGTGTGCGCGCGCGCGCTCGTGCGTGCATGCAGGAGTGCGTGCGGGCATGTGTGAGTTTCACTCCGGCAGTCAGTCTCTAAAGCGCCCGTCCAAGCTTGGCTGAGTTAACAATACTAGTTTGGACAGTGTGTTGGCTCATACTGGCTGTGGCTGCATGATGACCCTGATGGGATACATCTGGTGAACTACCTGATCAGGTGGGTATCGCATTCTGGTGATCACTATGAACTGGAAGTCTTGAACACGTCCACGCATGAAGTTAGTCTTCTCATAGGCCTTGCCATCTTCTTTTCGAATCAGTGACTCGTAGCTGGAACAACAAATCCAACACAGAATGCCTACAGCTGGTTGCATGTTTCGCCACCTGGCACTTCCGTCCCAATGAAAATATCCTCCCAAAATACCACATCCATGGAAATGCAAGATATCAACACGCTCATTAAAGTATGCTTCTAAACTGTCCGTTCTTGTTTCGTCTTGCAATATGGCTGTCCGCGGCCAACCCTGCACTGGTTATGGCTGATGTGAGGTGTTGAAAGCCTGTGTTAGCCTGCAAAAGACCTGCACTAGCATGCGCTAGCATGCGCTAGCCTGCACTAACCTGTGTTTATCTGTGCTGACCTGTGTTAACCTGTGTTGACCTGTGTTAATGCCGGTCTTTAGAGCCAGGTGGTCTTTGTTCACAGGTCGTAATACAGTCATGTAGACCCTGGTGTGCAGGCTGAAATGACCGGTCTCATCAGACATGCAGGCAGTTTCCTATCACTGTGATATGATGTGACTGTACTGGCAATGCTGTTTCAGGGGTTCAGCGCATGAAAATCCTCCAACCGCAGCTACTGGAGTTCCGCATTTTTATTTTATATTCTTGCAGCATTGGCTAGTTATCAATAATGTAGGTTTGTAGTCGGGCAAACCGTAGTTTTCGCCGTGGACCGAGCAAGCCGGCCACGCGGCCGAGGCGGAGCAACAACCGGCGGGGCTGTACGCACAGCCGCCCTGGCTGCCCCTTTCAGCATGGGGCGATCGCACGCAGGACCAAGGAGGTTGAGGGCACTCTTGTCTCCTGCTTGTTGGCACAGCAGCAACTCTTTGCCCTTGCGCCCTTTGAGGGTTTTTTTGAGGTTTTCGTTTCATCATGGAGCTCTCGCAGACTCAGCTGGCCGTCATCAGGGAGGCAACGGCCTCCGCAGTTTCTGCTGCTTTAGCTCAGCTCGCGCCAATCTCGCAGGAGCAGCACACTACAGCGGACCCCACACCAAGGGTGGAGGACCAGGCCGCGACGAGTGTTCAAGGTATGTTTCCTGTGGCGCCCAGGCTGCCCTCTTGTGTGGCCCAAGTGTCGGTGGACATCATGCGCAAGATTAAAAGCGTTGAGTATGTTGACCTGGCTTCGGTCCTGCCCAGTCGTGCCGTCTCGTCTGAACCTCCTGCCAAGCGTATTCGCCTGGACGAGAGCGCAGATTCGGCTGTATTCATTTCCACAGTGTCCACACCACGGAGGAAGATCGAGACACTGGCGGACTGGACCGAGGCCTGGTCGATATTTAGTATCATTGCCTGTGACGGCGCTCCTGGTCCTTGCAGTGGCCTCCTGGAACACCAGCTCAGAATTATCCAGGCCGCGCAAAAATACCGCTTTGCTGCGGTCCAGGAGTACGACGTGCTCTTGCGCCAGGTGATGGCAAAGGACCACACCCTCAGCATTGGAGATATGCACACTGAGCTGTATACCCAGTGCTTTACCGGGCAGGCACTGAGTTTTTGCAGCAAATGCAAGAGGCCTGGCCACTCTGCCACGTCATGCCTGGCGAAGGCATCTCCGCAAGCGCCTTTTCGTGCCCCCTGCGGCAATGCAGTGCCGAAACCTGTGTGCAAGCAGTACAACAAGGGCAGCTGCACCTTTGCCAACTGCTCGTATTTACACCGCTGCACCTTCTGCCAAGGGGCTCACAAGGCCATCGAGTGTCCCTCACGCAGCTCTGCCTAATCTGCCCAGCCTGCCCGATTCCTCGTCGCCACCGAGTAGTAAGTCCTGTCTCACATCTGTTTTCACCCCTGTAAATGTTTTGGCTTTAGAAGCTGAACTAGCTGGCCACCCTGATCGTGCTCTTGCTGATACCATTTTGTCTGAGTTACGCGACGGCTGTCGTGTTGGGTTCTCCGGTAACCGCTCTGCCTCAATTGTTTCGAATAACCTTGCTTCTGCCTCGGCAAACCCCAATATTGTGGACGCTTATCTAGAAAAGGAATGCAAGCTGAATCACACTAGTGGCCCATTTGACACCCCTCCTTTTGTCTCCCTGCGCACCTCTGGCATGGGCGTAGTGCCCAAGAAGGATGGCAGTCACCGATTGATTATGCATTTATCTGCCCCGGCGGGGAATAGTGTTAACGATTTTATTGATCGCGAAGCCGTTTCCTTTTCCATGATTTCCATTGACACTGTCTGTGACTATGTTAGGCGAATGGGCCGCGGTGCCCTTCTTTGCAAGGTTGACTTGCGGCATGCGTTTCGCATAATTCCTGTCCATCCAGAGGATCGCCCATTACTACGTATGTGCTGGCGTGGCAAATTTTACTTTGATCTGGTATTACCGTTTGGCTTACGTTCTTCCCCATTCATATTCAATCGCTTTGCCGACGCACTTGCTTGGATCTTACGTAAAAATTACTCTGTCGACAATCTGGAGCACTACCTAGATGATTTCATTAATGTATCTCCCCCGGCCTCTTTTATCCCATCGTCTACCGCTGCGGTGCACATGGCAACCATCTTGCAAGTGTTCGACAACTTGGGCATTCCAGTGGCGGAAGGCGCAGACAAAGTGGCAGGTCCCAATACCACGTTGACAGTGCTCGGCTTGCAGATCGACACCATTGCCATGGAGATGCGTCTCCCAGCACCCAAACTTCAGGAACTGCGGCACCGGCTTGCTAACTGGAGTATCACGCAGCATTGTTCAAAGCAGGAACTGCTATCTCTTATTGGACTCCTGGCATTCGCGGCAAAGGTGGTCCCGGCCGGCAGGACATTCCTGCGCAGGCTGATCGATCTCAGCTCCTCGGCAACCGGTTTGCAGGACACCATAGCTCTGACAGCAACTGCACTGTACTTATGGTTTGATTCATAGGGTGGTAAATAGCTTATGTACCAGCCTGCTATGTCGGATACCACTAACCATGCATCAACTTTGCGCCAGGCGTGAACTGACGGTGTTGGTGGTGAGAAGGAGAGCTCTTTGCAAGAGTAACTTTGCAGCTTAGAGAACATGTGTGGGCAGGCTTGTATTTACCGCCATATTGCCAGGTGTGAATTTACCACCATATGAACCCACCTATATATATTAAAAAACATGAATTACTAGCCAGAACTTACACACT